GGGGGGGGGGGGGCTGGAAGGTTCTTCTTAAAGAAATTATTTAGGGGAAAGAAAATGTCGGAAACATTATGCTTTGCTGTTCCTGAAATTAAAACTTCAAAAATATAGAGCGTTGCTCTTTGACCTGGAAGTTCATTTTAATCATAATATGATCATTATAATGTGTTGAAAATGTTAATCTAGAAGTTCATTGTCATAGGAGCTTGCACCCTTGAGAAGGTCACTATCTTTAAGCGTGGTTGGATCAGTTCCGACACAAATATGAGCTCGTGTTTGGCTGAATTTTATTTGGGAAAAAGCAGTTCTTTCCTTTTAGGTTCTCACAAGAGTCATCTAATGAGGCCGTAGGTCCATGTAGAACTGTTATGTTGATTACTCAGAGAACTTAACAGTTAAAATATTGCTGGGATAATTAAGCATCTCTTTTCCCAATCCGGACTTTTATTTCTAGCTTTGGTGATTAGGAAGGATTTACGAAGAAGTGCAGGGACTCCCTTTGATGAATATTCAATTGGGCATCATTCCCCTTGGGAAGGTCACTATCTTGAAGCCTGGTTGGATCAGTTCCCATACAAAAACGAGCTCGTGCTTGGCTGAATTTTATATGGGAAAAAGCAGTACTTTCCTTTTAGGTTCCCGCAAGAGTCATCTTTTATAATAACGAGGCTGTAGGTCCATGTAGAACTGTTATGTTGATTACTCAGAGAACTTAAAAGTTAAAGTGTTGCTGGGATAATTAAGGGTTTCTTTTTCCAATCTGGACTTTTATCTCCAGCTTTGGAGATTAGGAAGGATTTACAAAGAAGTGCAAGAACTCCCTTTGATGAATGTTCAAAGTTGTGTAATTGCATTCCTATTGTATTTTACTTTTAGTGTTTCAACTTCAATCTCGATTGGTACAAGCTTAAGCTCGAGTGCCTTGACTTCAACTTCAACAAGTGCATCTACCACCACCTCTATCAGCAGAAGGTTAGTTTATGGAAGCCTGTAGAGTAGAAGAGATGGTTAAGAGTCACTAGAAGTGTAACCGGGAGAAACTCTAGCTTCTTGATTGCCCTCGTGGAGAAATCAGCGAACTTTGAACGGACACCTGGACCAGATTTCTCAGAAAGTATTTAGCCTACCACTGTTAATGTTGCAAAATAGTCTTTTGCCCGGTTAAGCTAAAAACTCTTCAAAATAAGTAATGCTGAAAGGAGATTACCCTGAAAAAATATCGTTTCTCCTATGCTCGGCTCTTTCTTGTTCAGCATTGGCGGAAGAAAGGGGTTGCAAGGTAATTATGGGGTGGCAAGTCATTTCGGGAACATAAGGTTGTCGTGACACTTCTAGTATTTTTCTTCCAGTTCTAACCCTAACACTAGCACTGATTTTAATATATCAAAACTCGAGGCATGACTAAGTATAATTCGGCCATGCATGCGACGATCTGGTGTTTCAAGCAATTGGTTTTCTTTTGTTATTGTCGGCACTGGACACCAGCAGAAACTGAAACGACTGCAATAAAGAACAGAAACGAAGGAGACTGGACGAAAACTGGTTCAGGGACATTTTTCCCATCCCTGAGACAAAACTGAAACTTGCTACTGTTATACGGACTGAACGCTCAGCAACACCAAAACAGATCCCAACCAAGGCTATTGTATGCAGCGTTGAGGCGGCTCTGTCTCGGCATGAATGTTTCAGCTGATGAATCTGTACACCTGATTTCAAAGGTGTACTTTGCGATCTGCTAAATAATCGAATTAGGAATTTCCTTTTTCCACTATTACCTCATTTTCTAATTTTGGGACCATCTCAAAGCATTGTCAGACAATCTTAATAATCGCACGAGGCACGTGAGAAACAAATATGTTTTGATACAAAGCTCTTTGCTGAAAAAGTCAACCTAAGTGAGGTAAACAAATCAAAGCTTTGGATCGTCAAAAGCGGCCATTATTTTTCTGCGTTCTATCCTTTCACGCCCTGTCGCCCTAATTTGGTAAAATGGTGCAACAGTGGAACAAAAAGCTAGTGGTATGAGTGGTGCGTCGGGTGACGTTGTTCCTTATGATGGTGGTGGATTAGCTTGCAATTGGTTAGGGTTTAGGGTTCCATGTTACAGAGACTGCAATGAAAGAGGGATGGTATTAGCTATAAGTGAATGAAAGCCTGCACAAATCAAAGATATATAAACGATACTGCAGCTATGCAGTATCGACAAAAATGAAATAGTCGTGTTTGTGGGGGGAGTGATAATCAAGTTTACACAATTTCAATGTGGTACACGCATCATGTTTGGGCATTAAGTCTAAAATGAAAATATGATCTAAGTGCTGGTGCTGCTGCTGGTGCTGTTTTTGATGATAATGATGGTGTTGACAACAAGGGGGAGAATTATGATGATGACGATGGTGGTGGTGTTGGATAAGAGTTTTTGGCAATGTTTTAAGATAAGGTATATATCGTCTTTCAGCATTCCTACTTCAAGGTCCACTACAGTTTCATCATCATCATATCAATCGGTTTCTGAGAAGACGGCAGTCACGTTTTTCCCGTCATCTGCATACAGTCGGTCCTCTAATGTACAGTATTCAATACCTACATCAAGTAGGAAGCCGCCGAGTTTGAAGCCTCCGACGAGATCCTCTACATCAAGTGTCTCATCTTCTAGGTAATTAGATTAAGAATTGGAATTTTTATCAAGAGATTGAAGACAAGTGAAAACACGCAACAAAAGTTTTGTTTTTACTAAACTTATTCGGGATTTAAATTAGAAAAATGGCTCTCTATAGGTGTCATAGACCCTTTTCTTTAGAGTCAAGTGAATTCTACAGAGACAGATCACGGTTTTTTTGATGAAGAAGGAGAATCAGATGGCATGGGAGGAATCAAAACTTGGGTGGGATGTGTTTAGTATACCTATATAATGGTGCTTCAAAGGAGCAATTTACTCCTGCTTTCTTGGTGCAAAAAGTTCAGTTGCTTTCCCTCAAACAAAATACTCTTACTGTCACTAAAAGGCAATGAGCCCACAGCTAGGTCAGGCTACAAATGCTGCTAAAATTACTCTTCTAGGCACATTCCAGAAAAACCTACAATTGTCATGTATTAACCTCAATGATGCATCTCAATTTCCTTTTAAATTAATTTTGTTAAATCAAGCACGTCTACATCAACATCGCGATCAACATCTTTGAGTTCAAGTAAGTCAACAAGTGTGACGACATCGGCGAGTACCAGTACATCCACCTCAACCTCAAAGAGTGTCAGTACACCGACAACCACAGTTTTCTCAACATATTCCAGTGTCAGCACAAGTACCTCAAAATCAGTATCCACCAGTGTGTCTACCTCAACCTCGACTAGTGTGAGCAATCCAACCACATCACTTTCAACGACATATTCAAGTGGCAGCAAAAGTTATTCAACTTCAGTATCCACCAGTGTATCAACTTCAACATCGACGAGCATATCGACATCACATAGCACTAGTGCATCCACATCAAAATCGACATCAACTAGTGTCAGTACTCCAACAACCACAGTTTTCTCAACATATTCCAGTGCCAGCACAAGTACCTCAACATCTGTATCCACTAGTGTGTCTACCTCAACCTCAACTAGTGTGAGTAAAGCTACAACATCGGTATCCTCTCCTTTGTCAAGTGCCGGCACAAGTACTTCAACGTCAATATCCACCAGTGTGTCTACATCAACCTCAACCTCTGCTTCAAAATCAACCAGTGTTTCAACTTCCATTAGCTCAAGCACCTCTACCTCAACAAGTTTTAGCACTCCAACTACAACAGTTTTCTCGACATACTCCAGTGCCAGCACAAGTACCTCAACATCAATATCCACTAGTGTGTCGTCTTCAACCTCAACTAGTGTAAGCACACCAACAACGTCAGTTTCCACTTATTCGAGTGGTAGCAAAAGTTATTCAACTTCAGCATCCTCAACAACAAGTAAGTCAAAATCGATCTCATCCTCTGCCTCAACATCAACTAGTGTGTCAACTTCTGTTAGCACAAGCACCTCTTCATCAACATCTACAAGTGTCAGTACACCAACCACAACAGTATTCCCTACATACTCAAGTGCCAGCACAAGCACCTCGACATCAATATCCACCAGTATGTCCACCTCAACGTCAACTAGTGTGAGTACACCAACGACATCGGTTTCCAAGACATTTTCAAGTGCAAGCACGAGTACTTCGAAGTCAGTGACCACCAGTGTGTCTACGTCCACTTCTACATCTGTTTCAACATCGACTTCACCCAGTTCAAGTAAATCAAAAAGTGTATCAACATCACTAAGCACAAGCACTTCCATATCGACCTCAACAAGTGTTAGTACACCAACAACCACAGTTTTCTCTACGTATTCCAGTGCCAGTACAAGTACCTCAACATCAATATCCACCAGTGTGTCCACTTCAACCTCAACGAGTGTGAGCACTCCAACAACATCGGTGTCTACGACATTTTCCAGTGCAAGCAGTTCAACATCAGTGTCCACCAGTGTGTCTACCTCAACTTCGAGCTCTGCTTCAATATCAAGTAGTGTTTCAACTTCTGTTAGCAGAAGCACCTCCACGTCAACATCGGCAGGTGTCAGTACACCAACTACAACAATTTTCTCGACGTACTCAAGTGTCAGCACCAGTGCGTCAACATCAATATCCACTAGTGTGTATACCTCAACCTCAACTAGTGTGAGTACACCAACGACATCGGTTTCTAAGACATTGTCGAGTACCAGCACAAGTACCTCGACATCAGTATCTACGAGTGTGTCTACGTCCACCTCTACATCTGTTTCAACATCGACTTCAACCTCAAGAAGTGTTAGTAAGTCAACAAGTGTTTCAAAGAGTACATCAATATCAGTTAGCACTAGCATATCAAAGACGACCCCAACAAGCACATCGACATCCACCAGTACAAGTACGTCGAAGTCAGCAAGTGTGTCCACTTTCATATCTTCTCGCACCAGGTGCGTGTGTGCTATTCTTGCTTCATTATCTTTAAGGTTGGATGTTTTTGATCAAAGGCGATTTGCCTGGTATATTGCCTGTTAACCTAGGGGGAAAATTATCATACATATTCTAGAATTGTGCTTAGGTCATATCACCTGTTTCCTTTTTCCTTCACCGAGAACATCGCAACGTCTTTGAAAAAGGGTTGCGCTTCCTCATCGTGGTAGTGTTTTTTCGTTTTCCCAAGAAGGAAATGTACTTGAATATAAAGAATAACATCTTCACTTTTAGATTAGCAAGCGTCTTACAGCAAAAAGATCTTATTTCTGCTGTGCATTGATATTCCTCGAGGACACTTCCATGATTATGACGACGATAATAGTTATGACCTTTTTCAATCTCATTTTCAATTTTGTCATACGTTAATGATTGAGCACGGAAGTTGAAGAAACAGAAAATCATTTGTAATATATTGGAAGCCATCTATGCAGGAAAAAAAACACATTGAAGAATGTGAACGCTGAAAGGTGACTCCAAAAGGTCACCCTTTTCTCGAAGAGATCATCTTGCACTTTTGGATAGGTGCTGGGGTTGATGTAAAGGGTTATGATACATTGTCCTTGGACAGTGTTTTGCAATTAGCTTGAGATTGAGATGGGCATCACGTGATGGGGAGTATGGCGAAGCCTGAAGCAGTTGTAAGGCTGAGAAAGCGGTGGCAAATAATCCAATTGTACTTGTATAAATCTAGTAGTCCTTATAAACTTAACTACCTGGCAAGTTCATGGTGTGCATAGATGGCGATTGTTATAGCTAATGAGATGGCAAAATTTGTTATTGAACGCAGTTACATTTATACTTGAATGCATTGGGATGTGATTCTGCTTCAAGGATGAGAAATACCATTGAGGTCAAATTGCCGTTGATGATGTAGATTGAGACGATGATGATGATGTTGATGATAATAATGGTAGCGGTGATGATGGTTGTGGCAATGGTGCTGTGCAATTTAAGATGATCTGGACGGTAAAAGAAGAAATTTGCAGAAGATTTAAAAATAAAATTATGACACTGACTGTGTTTTGAGATTCTAAAGAGTAACGTCACCATTAGAAATATGTCTGCAAATTTGTTTAGATTCGAAAAGGATTACACCCTGAAGAATAGTGCTTATCACATTGGCCGCTAATCTGTAATATTACTGACTTCAGCTTACATGGCTGCACTGGAAGGTTGAACTAATTGAAAACAGAAGGTGAAACTGTTTAAAGATTCGCACGGTTTGGTTTCCAGCCTTGTTACTAAGTTGTTCAAAATGGCAGTAGTGATTAACAAATGGGACTCCCGCTTCGCGGTCATCCAATCTTGTTAATCACTTGCATGGTTACAGACTGAATTGGACTCCATTTAGTCCTGTTACCATTACATACTAATAGCAGATGTAACCATCATAATTATGCTGTGTTATAAATGTCAGGGATTTGGGATTAGGAAAGGGGGGATTTTCCTGAAATACGAAGTGTGATGTCAAAGTGGTCACTGGTGAATTGTTTTGTTCCACTTGGTTAGCTCGATGTCCTCGTCATATCAACCAGTTTCTGAGAAGACTACAGGCACTGTTTTCCCATCTAGTGCACTAACAAGAAGTACAGGGACACAGTATTCTATACCTACATCGAGTAGAAAGCCACCAAGTTTGAAGCCGCCGACACGATCATCCACATCAAGGTTGTTGCATTTACATTTACCTTTCAATTGTGAAGGTTGGTGAGGGAATAGGGATGGTGAGGGAGCATGAACCCATCCACTCCAACCTTCACGCATGGAGTGCAGTTAGAGATGAAAGAGGGGATTTTACGATACTTGGCTAGCTGTTGGGAGGATGATTGAGGAGGGGAGGGGAATCAGTTTTATTGTAAGCCAAAGGAATGGGACTAAGGAAAGGAAGTGGTGGGGAAGTATTGAATACAGTTATCTTTACCAGACAGATTCTTGAATCTTAATTTGTATCCATCAGCTTGCTTAATCACTTAACCTTAAACAACAGCTCTTGGTTGCTTTGTGGTTTACAACCTAAATTTTGCGATGCTTCATACCTTACTGTATCCAAATAGGTACATTTTCCAAAAAAGCAAAAGTGAATGCCGAAAGCACCAAAACGAAATCCAGCCCTTCACTCGTAAAATCACTTCACTCCTCACAGCCCCTCAGTCATTCAATCCGAACCACATATGGTAGATATGGTTTCTCACGCTGATGCTCGAAATTTTTAATCTAAAACGATAAAATCGTACTGAATATGCGAAACAAAGAACTATTTACAACAGATGTCTTGTTTCCTTTATTTATCAACCATGCATTGTTCCTAGAAATAAACGTAGTGGCTGACATGAATCAGGAATTAATGGAGTTCTGAAAAATCAGATGGAAGTTCAAGGCATTGATTTGATGTTGAAGTAGAATACATTAGGTGTTTAATATGATAGCAATTACATTTAACGATGCAATAAATGCTAGGTCTTTTCGTTAATATATCTGTACTTTGGATGCTTTCTTAACAGTGTATCAACCTCTAAAAGTTCTAGTAAGTCGACAAGTGTCAGTACAAGCACCTCAACATCAGCGTCCACAAGTGTGTCCACTTCGACCTCAGCAACTGGGAGCACTCCAACGACATCAGTTTCAAAGACATATTCCAGTGCAAGCACAAGTACTTCAACATCCGTATCCACAAGTTTGTCTACTTCAACCTCAACTAGTGTGAGCACTCCAACAACGTCAGTTTCCAGAACTCTTTCAAGCGCAAGCACAAGTATCTCAACTTCAGTGTCTACGAGTGTGTCTACATCCACCTCTACATCTGTTTCACCATCGGCTTCATTAAGTTCGAGTAAGTCAACAAGTACCTCAACATCGGCTAGTACCAGTACAACCAAGTCAACATCAACAAGTGTCAGCACTCCAACAACCACAGTATTCTCGACCTATTCCAGTGCCAGCACTAGCACCTCAACGTCAATTAGCACCAGTGTGTCCACTTCGACCTCAACAAGTTTAAGCACACCCACCACATCTGCTTCCACGACATATTCCAGTGGCAGCAAGAGTTATTCCACTCCAGTGTCCACCAGTGTGTCTACCTCAACGTCAACAAGTAAGTCGAAATCAACCTCAACCTCTGCCTCAACATCAACTAGTATTTCAACTTCTGTTAGCACAAGCACCTCCACGTCAACATCTACAAGTGTCAGTACACCAACAACAACAATATTCTCGACATATTCAAGTGCCAGCACAAGTACCTCATCATCAATATCCACCAGTGTGTCTACCTTAACGTCAACTAGTGTGAGTATACCGACAACATCGGTTTCTAAGACGTTGTCAAGTGCCAGCACAAGTACTTCGACATCAGTGTCTACGAGTGTGTCTACA